TCAAACACAGAGTTGGCTGTAACTTTGGTGAGGAATTGGCTGTTATAGATGCTTTTGCGTCTTACCACAATCATACCAGGCACCGATACTACTGTTATAAATTTGCTATATGCAGTGTCTCCGTATGGCTGCGTCAAGGTCACTGGAAAGGTAACTGGTTCCTCCAGGGATTTGTTGCTAGCTAAAGGAATTAAACTGGTTGTGTGATTTCTGTACTCCTCGCAGTAGCCACAGGAGTCCCTCACAAGATCGCTCATGACTCCCGTCAAGGAATTGAATGATGTTGGTGAATCTAAGTAGCTGAGACGTATTGAAGACTCTAGGTACTCTTACACCGACAGGTTTCTAGGGAAATAATAGATGTTTTGTAAATAAGCGGACAAATAATTCATCTTTAATCAGAAAAGTGTACTAGAATGGCGTGTGTGCTGGTTTTACAGCCTTATTCAATACTCCTGGACAAAAGAGCCACTTTAGCCACGCAATAACGAAAAAAAGGATTAGTTAGAAATTAGCATAGATCAAAGGTATTGCAGTAATGTGAGGTTGTATTAACATTAAAGTTTAGCGATTAAAGTTAACGTTAACGTAAAAAATGTCGCCTTTGATTGTTATTCCTGTTTGAAAATATCTGCAACATATCTGCTCTGAGCAAATCTACTATAAAGACGAGTGAATTTAATGGCTAAATTATTGTTCCTAATGGGCGAAGTCGGATGAATTGGTAGCCGAGATGCTTGATATACAGTGATGACCCCATTCTGGGATTAATTAGCATTTATTGTCAATATTTGCATTACTGATATTCAAGCTAAGGCGACGTCACTCCAAATGAATTTACGTCAACCACAAAGAAAGTTTCGACGCAAGCGGTTTTTGGATCAAAGTACCTCCATAAACGGGATAACTGTAGTTCCCGACTCCCTCTGCTGTAACAGGTGCCACCTCAATCTTGTACATCGAATACGAGGAAAGATTCAAGAGCACGAATTCGCTGCAATTAGCAGATACATGAAGGGTTGAGGCTGCACTAGCTTCTAACTGTAATATTGGTTGATCTCCCTGACGGACTGCTTGGTATCTTACAATATAACCAAGTAACTGTCCGCCCATACGTTCTTTTGCTGGGTGTGTCCATGTTACCTTTATTGCTGAAAAACTCATTTTTTTTGTTGCACTTAGTGAAATAAGATTAAAGTCCGAACCTGCAAGGAAATAAGAAATTGCCTTATGATCTCAGTATACATCTTGACTGAGTCTTTCTGTCAACTCGATAGCTTGGTTTAAAATTATAAATGTAGTAAGACGACCTTAAGGGACCTTAAATGACAATTTCGTACAACTAAAACTTGTTTTCAGGGCATGTTCTAAAAAATGTCATGATATCAAACTTAATCTCCGGTGACATTAATTCTGGAACCACATCCAATTATCAAAAATGTCAAGTCCGGTAAAACTGAGGTTGGACGTAAAGACGTCACGCGCGAACCAAAACGGCAGTAAGATGATCAAGGTTGATCAAGGTTGGCGTGAGCTTCAAGAGACCTTACGTGGCAATTTCTTACCTCTTAAAATTATATTCCGACCCCTTTTTGAATGATTGGCAATGTTATCAAACTTAATTTCTGATTACATGATTTCTGGAACAACATTGAGTAAAATTTGGCAAAACTGACTTTGAACGCAATGACGTCATGCATGATCCTAGATGGCAGCTCACGAACCTCATTTTTATCCAGTCTTTGGAGACAAATTTCAATCGTTAGGACTTTGAAGGATAAATAACTCAGAAACACTATTGTTTTTTTCATTTGGTGCCTTCAAGGAAAAGGAAAAATTCCTTTCTTTTAGACAGGCAAAATGGTTTTCCGTGCTTCATATCCAACTTTTTCGGCCTTGATCAATTGATATCCACTGGATAAATCTCTGTCTAGTAGATAACGCCATTGGTTTCCTCCCTAATATTTGTACATTGAGTAGTGATTTATCATGTGGATAAAGTTATCCAATGTTTGAAAAACGGGGTAAGATCTTTACATCTCTTATGACCAAGGTATCGAAGTCAAGGTTGTGAACTCACCCAAGTCAATTTTGACACAAGACGTTGGCACACCAAACCCGGCTTTAGTTATAGCACCTACTCGAACACAACTTTCAGCAGAGATATTCTCCTTCTTAAGCTCCATGGATAAGTAACACTTCCCTACGAGAACGACAGTATTAGATTCCTGAATATGTACTGAATAGCCCAGCAACTCTCCATTTATACCAACAGAGGGCGGCTGGCCCCAGGACAGCATTACACTGTTGTTCAACATGAACACCGAGGGATTAGTGGGAGCCATAGATGGAACTGAAAATAATTTTAAGAAAAATTGGTGCACTCTTTGTATTATTCTATCATGACGAGAAAAGGGTGACATCACATTTACGTGGTGGGATCTCTCTTGCACACCTTCAAAAAAGGGGATTCAATCAGCAAGAAACACACTGCTAGCGAACTCCCTGGGTATGGCCAGTTCCTTACGCTTGCCTACATATCACAACGGCTGATTCGCCGATTTTGCTGCGGAGTGCGTGCTCTTTGCTCAAAGGCAGCAGCACAAAGTAGATATGAACTACTGGTAGTAAAATGTAGCAAGGGTACACAGAGAATGGACCTTTATAAAAGCGTGACTGTTGATAACCCATCAGATTCAGTGCATGTGATGTTACCATATGGCACTTTAGGTTACTATCCTAACCCATTTAACTTCCTGTAAGCTAATAGAGTCTCTATTTTAACTTGGCGTCAATATCAATTATCTAAAATAATATGAGGCATTTCTGAAATCGGCTCCTATTAAGTCCTAGTTGGGGCTCAACGTTAAATGCGGACATTGAAAGTTGATGTTCTTCTGTGTTTGACAATCGCTCGTAGTCCTGCCAGGGATTTTTGTCCTGCTCTTTTTTTTAATCATACTGTGCGGTACTGACGCATTTTGATTCCCGATAATTCAGGATCTTCCCTGGATAAATAGCTTCCCTGACATAGGATTCCTCTGGGCTTTTTTTGTTCTTACCATCTTCATCAGTTAACGCAAACACACAGTCACTAGCATTACCATCTTGCTGGCTGTTAAACGCTAAAACTTGAATGCAGTAATTTGTGTATACCAACAAGCCCGTCAATTCTGTTGACGAGATGTTGGCTCCTACTGAGACATTCAGCTTTGGCTGCGTTTCAGCTTCGTCAACATACAGAACCCTGTAGCCAATCAAAGCCTCGTTCTCGTCGCCAGGAGGAATTAGGTTCCAGCTGACCGTGATAGACGTGGAACTTGAGGCTTTTGCGGTAATTATGGTCGGTGACTGGTCGAGACCTGTTTAAAAGAGAAAGTTATCGTGTGAGCTTTAAGTTTATTTAACAGATGAACTTTTTATGGACAAAACATGAATGAAAAATAACAAATTTTGACTAAAGGTCGGGCGAGAAAACCAGACATTGACTGTAGCAACTCCATCAAGGTGTTAGTAGAGCTCACGAGGGGCAAAAGTCTCAGAGGAGAGGCAACCACGTTTCTCAGGGAACAGCCCTTTTCTGACCCTCCAGGTAGACAAGACACTAAGATTATTTACTAATTTACAAGTAAGGGGGAAAGACATTGTGAAAAATTCTTTACACTCACTCAGGACGTCGAGTGAAGGTTGGTTCGCACCGTGGAGAAATTGATTTATTCTCACCTTAACGGACAAGAATTTCATCGCCCCGATATACATAAAAACAAAGTCGTTCCGTTTTCTCAAAACGGGAAGCACAAGAACAAGGCATTTCGGAAGCTTTTTCCCAGTTAAGCATAAACTTCATTTGATGGAAATGAAAATTTCATTAACAAAACATCAATGAAAGATAATAAATCTTAGGCAAAGGTCGAGCGAAAAAAACTGCAACAACAACAAGAACAACAACCTTTCATTGACTCAGACACTTAGAATTATTACAAGAAAAGTTATATACATTACACTTTACAAAAGCCAAAAGCCAAAAGCCAATGACTGTAGCCATCCCAACAAGGTTTTAGTAGAGCTCAGGAGAGGTACAAGTCTCAGAATACCGCGCAAATAATCTAGAAAGACAGCCTTTTTTTCCAGAGAGCAGGCCGTTTCTGCCCCTCTAGATAGACAAGAGGCCAGGATTAAGATGAAAAACTGGAAAATATGAGGATCAGCGTCACAAGTAGGGGAAAAACACAACCGCAAAAGAGTAAAGCATTTTGTTTTTGTTTTTTTTTTCGTGGTTATTCGGGAATCCTTTTTTAACTGCCTTTATTGGCGTAAATTTCAAGGATGATATGGTCCAAGAACCCACCATTTTGTTATTATTGTTGTTGTTCCTTATTTATTTCTTTATAGCTATATGAGGTGCATCCAGAAAAGTCCATTACGCTGGAAAAGGGTGCATATCCACTTCATACGTTTGTTATGTTCCGGCTTACGTGCCGTCTCAATGAAAGTGATTACCTGAAGTTATCACTGAGCTCCCTTGGTCATTAGCTCCTTGCACAGATACTGAAAGAACTAATGGCGTAATTATTGTGGTTACTGATACCGGATTGGTAGTGACAGGTGCAGGCGGAGAGAGAATTGTTGTGGATATTGTGGTCCTTGTCGCTCCGTTCAGTGTAGAAAATAACGAGGCGGTAAAGAAGCTAGGATCGTAAGTCATTGTCGGGGTTGCTTGTCTTGCTGTTGATGATGGTAACGGGTACAAAAGTAGTGCAGGAGTGGAGAGAACTAATATAGATGTTCTGCTCTTGATCGCTCCTTTCCGTGCAGAAGATAGCGATAGCGAGGCAGTTAACATGCCAGGATCGTAAGTCATTTTCGGGGTTGCTTGGGTCGCATTCGATGATGTTAACCGGTGGAAGACTAGTGCAGGAGTGGAGGAAACTGCTAAGGATAAAGTGCCCTTGAGAGCTCCATTCATTGCAGAAGATAGCGACAGCGTGGCAGTCAACAGGCTAGGGTCGATAGTCATCACCGGGGCTGCTTGTGGCATGGTTAACAAAGTTGAAAGGTCGACGACTGTATGAGTGGCAGATACCAGTGCAGGTGACTCACTTGAAGAGGTGGCGATAATGGTGATAGCTGAAAAAGAAACAAGCCTTTAATCGGAAAATCCTAAATATCGGGCCCCATTTGTTCAAAAGGTGGATAGCGCTATCCACTGGATAAATAACTACCCAGTCGATAACACAATTAGTTATTGTAATACTTATGCATTGGATAGCGCTATCCAACTTTTGAACAACCGGGACCAGGCAGCTATCTACATGTACCAAGAAATTAATTGAATCTATCATAAACTCAAATAGTTAATATTCGAACACAGTAACATTGATAAAAATGATCTTAATATCAACTTCCGATTAAAACTTTATCAATTAACACTGACTTAAAGTATTTGACTAGGTGTATTGGCTTCGTTATTATTGACAAAATTTTTAGCACCATTATTATCATCATCATCATCATCATCATCATCATCATCATCAGTATTATTATTATGGGTATTATTAATATTAATTTAAATGGTTATCAAGTATTTTTTTACCAATATAAATAAAAATAGTATGGTAAACATACTTAAGAGTAATAATCTTAAAATCTATTTTCACTATTTTGTACAGTAAGTTAGTTTGAACCCGTAATCAGTGTGGTGTTAGTGTGAACAGCCATGGCTAAGTGACGTCATGATTTAAATCACTTGTTTTATATTTGGCCAGGATCCTTTCTCCTACCGTCTTCTTGGTCCGTGAAGGCACAGAGTTCATCGCTCTCTTCACCCAATCCATGAGTTGTTACAGCTTTCACCTTTATGCAGTATTCTGTATTTTCTTTCAATCCTGAAATATTTTTCTCTTCCGGTACATCTTGCACTGACAGAATACTGTTAGATAATCCTCCATTCTCGTTTACGTTTATAAGGAATCCTTCAACTTCATTAGGAGCAAAATATGGCCTCGAATGATTCCAGCTTATCAGTAACCAAGTATAACTGCTATCTTGCACAGTGAGATTTTCCGGAGGATCGTTTGGAGCTATCAAAGAAAAATACAAAAGAAAAAAAGCTAAGGGATAGTTGAAGTTATGCAAAGATGTGTTCATACTTATAAAGGAAACCTCCACTGTAGTTGGACAATTTCTTTAAGATAAAGTGAAAATTCTACATTCACACTAGCAAGCGAAAATAGGTTAAAAGTAGGTAGGAAAGATGGTGCAAGTAAACCCACCATTTTGAATTTTTGGACTTAAATAGGTTACTCTTATTATTCTATCCCAGCGTCAACCGAAAAAAATATAAATAATAACATAACATAAATAATAACATAAATAAAAACAACAATAACAACAGCAAAACAACCGGTAGCGTTTTTCTTCGCTTTTTTTATAATTTAGTAGGACACGTTTAAGGGACCGATTGGGAGTAGTATCTATCACAGATATAGAAAGGAGCTTGCTTTGTGGAGATTCAAGGAAAGGACTGTTGAAAGAAAGGGAACATTTCTTCAGGAAAGTGTCCCTCCTGTATCTTTTTTAATACATATAAATCATTAAACTACTGTTTGGAAATAACATTGAAAATTAGAATTTATCATTTTTTGACACGTTGATGCCAATTGGTTATTAATAACAAAGAACGTTTACGCAGCTTTATTAAAAAACTGTAAAATGATGCCTTTTTGTGGGGCTCCTGAAGAGAATAGTTATATAATAATTGATGATAGATTGAATATAATAAAGGTAGTCTACTCTGTAAGAGTAGACTACCTTTGGATCCGTGTTAATGCATTTTTCTGTTGTTGTTTTTGTTGCTGTTGTTTTTTTTTTTGTTAGAGTAACATTATTTTAAACTGGAATTACATCCCCAGTTTTAGCCTTCCTGTTCATATATTTTATCACTAATCGTTTAAGCCTGTTGGGGTTGAGACAATTGCAACAGAAGACCCCTACAATTTAAAACAGACACATGTTTCTGCCCAAAGATTTTCAGATGTTGATGTCCCAAACACCAACATGGTAATAGACTGTCCTCCCTAGACATCCTTGGCACGCGCAGGGTATGTGCAAAGAAACCGATCTAAAACTTTAGGTCATGTGTAGTATGTTGCAAATCATCCTTCAGAACAACCTCATCAGCTTAGGACTGTGTAGACTAATCACAGTCCCCTATTTTTCCGTAAGAGCGTCGAAATCGCGTGCTTTGTGTCGCGGGCGATCATCGTGGTCACAAATGTTTCGATTCTACTGAGGGGGTGGGGGAAGGTTTGGGAGAAGGCCTCACTTCCCCCATCGCTATAAGCCCCCGCAGCCACCCCTTCCGTACATATGAAACCAAGATGGCCGCCCGTTCCCGCAAACGCCCGATCCTGACGATCTTGCGAAACACACTTACAAAAGGTCGTGTGACCCTTTTTTAACTGATGGAGTTAGAACAAATCCTTAGAAAATACTGATTTGAAGGTTATCTATCACACCAGTCAGACTTATTTAAACTTGTACTAACTATCAATCGCCGTGGAGGCACAGACCGCGTCAGTTTTTTTTCGAAGCCCATGTTCAGATATAACGGTAACCCTGACGCAGTAATTTGAGTATCTAAATAATCCGTGTACTTCTGTTGTTTTCTTGTCTGGGTCGACGATGCTTACTGCGCTCGTGACACTATCGCGGTTTGTCAGTCTGATTAGGTATCGGCTGACTGGATGGGACGTATTTACACTCCAACTTATGTTTAACGAGGTTGAGCTGCTGTTGAACACCTGAAGAGTCCATTCATAGATATCAAAGCTTGGTGCTGAACAAGACAAAAACACAAACAACCACCCGCAAATGAGACGTGTAAATCATGGAAGTTGTCCTCTTTGTAACTAAAGGCTTATTAACTGAACAAAGACTTATTAAGATGCCGGAAAGTGGATGGGATACAAAGAAGCTCTCAGAAGGAGTTGTTTGATTTTCTACCGAAAAAATACATTATTGACCCAAAAAACGTATTTACGCTTAAACACAATAGCGACTGTTAAGAAGTCCAATCAAAATATAGGTGTCTGAGAGCTTCGTTGCTCCAGGATTAAAGTACACTGGAAGCTCTCGAGAACGGACACCCTCGGAGAGCGAAAAAGGTCTCTGTGACTGGAGTTGGCCCCATACAGGAATGTAAAAATACAGAGTTCGTATGGGAATTAAGAAAAGGCTGAGGGAGGCGGCCGTAAGAGACTGTCTGTTAGGAGATCTTCAACTGTAGTTCTCCTCCACGTATTCTTTGAGAGATTTCTTTCTTTTTGGATCCGTTTCAACATTCAAACTGATCTTACCCCGTAAGCAGAGCCTTTTTTCTTTCCTTCTTCACTGAAGAGGAGTATAGGAGCCCCTGCCGGAATTACGTCAAACCTTTGAGGTCGCCGCAGCCCGACCCTCTGGACTTGTCAATCTTGTCAATCTTTTTCGAGTGAGAGTTTGCGTTTACTGATAAACCGATAGTCACAACCGAGCCCGCTATAGTAGGCGCACGGATATTAGGTCTGGATTCGCAACTATTACCTTGGCAACATGCCGCGCATGCTCAACAAAAATGTTACTCGATTTATGCAGAGTCTTTAGCGAGTAAGCCACAATCGAGCCAGCAACGAAAAGCTCTGCGGACAGGGTGAACTGATGTATCAGATCTGATGTAACTTCAGCCATTAAAAACATACTACCCACCACCATGAAAACGGATCTCAAATTGATTAAACATGCATCTAAAGAACTAAAGCACTAACATATTGGATACGTTTGAAAAAGGCTAAAAACTAAAACAATTTTAAAAATGCAAAGCAAAAATATTAAGAGGGAGGAATCACTAATTAAACACCCAAAACTAGAAGAAAGTGTATGCGATGACGGCTCACCAAGTTGTCCCTTCCAGTTGTTTCGCAAGATTTTTGCAAAATTGTTGGTTAAAAAATGGACAAAACTCGTTCACGGAACTTATTAAAAATGCGCTTGACAACTTATAGCTTAGATTTAACCCTAACTTCCATTTAACTTACGACTCTGTCCTTCACCTGAACCTTGACCTGACCCTTGACCTCCGTAAAGTTTTAGTTGCGTGCAGTTTCCAATTGACTGCACAGGCCAAATACGAATAAGTGATGCCAGAAGTTCATCATTTGTCAGATAATTTTTCTTGCTGAGTAGTGGGGCATCATATGCACTTCCCTCAAACACCTGGAAAAAAAGTTATTTGTGAACAAACGCCTTTTTAATCATCATTTCCCTGAAGAATGAATGTCACCCAAACCGCCCAGGCGACCGAAACGGCAGACCCCAGTAAACACAACCCTGTGCATTCCTTTGGGATGACCCGGATCATGACTAGTGATCAGAGATCACTAAAATCATGCTACATCAATTGAACCGATGAATCCTTTCCCAGAGTGGATTCGTTGGTTCCTTTGATGTGCGGCTATAAAAAAGAGTAATCTCGCATCACTGATCCGGATGCGGATCATCCATATGGAATGCACATAGTGTCAAGAGATCATAGCATCGTTACACCGACACATCGGTAATGGTCCTCATCATCAAAACTTATATTACAATGAAATCTAGCACAGCTTACCGTTACGTTTTCCGTTTGATTATAAAAGGTCCACTCTCTGCCATCAGTTGAATTTTCAACACGATATGAAGAAATGTACCTGACTTCGTTTCTGGAAGCTTGTAAGCCTTTTGTTTCAATCGCACATATTCGGTGCAGTGTTGATAAGTTAATTTCCAGATAGGACGTCAGTGAGTCGTTAAAACACCATATTGTGAAATTATCATCTGTAAATGATTCCTCGGTTATAGAGTTACCATGCAGACGAGAACCATTGGAAAGTATGTGAAAGCCAGTTACACTGTCATTGTTTAGCATGATAATGGAACCATTACATCCTATTTAAAAGGAGATCATATTATAATTCATATTGAGAAAACTGCAGTCTCAACACTATTTGCAGGCGGCAAAAATGGCCCGAAATCGTAATCTCCGGGCTGCCATTACGCATGCTTAGCAGGTATATAGCCAGCATTCGTTTGGAATTGGCAATATTATAGCCCTTCTACGTACCATTCAATCCAGTTGAGGTAAACAAACAGTCGCTCGCATTTCCATCTCCCTGACTGCTAAAAGCTAGAACTTGAATGCAGTAATTTGTGTTGACCATCAAGCCCGTCAATTCTATTGACGAGATGTTGGCTCCTACTGAGACATTCAGCTTTGGCTGAGTCTCAGCGTCGTCAACATAGAGAACCCTGTACCCAACCACAGCTCTGTTGTCGATACTAAAATGACCCGAGTTCCAACTGACTATAATGGAAGTGGAGCTGGAAGCTTGTGCGTTAATCAAGGTAGAACCTGTTAAGAACAAAGCATTTCATTTAAATTTTAAGTCAAAGAAAATTCTGCGCTCGAGACACTATAGCGCGCTAACTTTTAATCAAACACGATACCTTTTTAATGTCTGGAAGGTTAATAGTTAAGATATTGGGAAAAAGACGATTGTCAAAACATAAGACAATTAATAAAACTATATTTTTGTTTGTTGTGATTATTTGACCGGAGCTTTATTCTACTAATTACCCATTGATAATCGCTTAGTTTTCATACTATATCGGTTGCTTACATTATTTGTGCATTAAGCTTATTCAAAATTGCCATCAGTTTTCAATCACCTATTATACAGGGTACGGCTTCGACATTACAAGCTCGTGACTCGAAGCCATCTGTTATGTTAAACAACGTAGGATTTTTGGCGCACGAACGATTACGGACTTGTACTCCTTCTTGTGGGCCACAAGACACGCTGCAAGGTGACCACGAATCCCATTCGCCAGGATGCGGAATACTGTAATTTCCATCTAAATAAAACACAGAACATGACTGAGGAAAATCTTTAAGGTGTGGGTCTCTTCAGAGTCTGAAAATGTTTGAACTTAACAAGCGAAAAGGAGCACGCAGGTAAAAGTTGGTGTCGTTGCATTGATTGAACGGCAATTCAACAATGCAACTCCCTGGCTACAGGATTGCTGAGTTGGGGGAATATACTGGACTGGAACGGAGTTGTCCATGGCGCAAGGAGTACTAGTCTTGACAGCACAAGATTTACCACCGTCTAAGGGAGATCAGGTTTAAACACCAGGGGAACCAACAGTGTCGGACAAAAGTTAACTCAACATGCTGGGTCAATCGTTGTAACCGAGCTCTTACTTAAACAAGAAGCAATGCATACACACCTTTCCTGTAGAGGACAAGATATGAGTTGTCTATTTTGTGGGGTTTGTCGTGGCCAGGATCCTTGATCCGAAGCGTGTAAAACCGAGACGTATTATTTGAGAAGAAAAGAAGTTCAATGTAATAAGCGTGTGCTTCAGTGAGGTTAACAGCAGTTCTAGTTACAAACCAATAGAAAAAATTCCGGGTTAACAAGAATTTACTCAATAGAACAGCAATAATGAAAATTGTCCTTCCAAGGTTTTATTAAAATGTGATGGAAATCATGGATCACTATACGTTTCTAGGAGACTGCCCACCGACCCCTCCCCTAAGCCAAAATTAACACTTACTTCTCACTTAGGGCAAAATGTTGGCTTAGGGGAGGGGTACGAGTGCAGTTTCCCGGAAACGTACGATGATCCGAAATCATTTGTTGAATCTTCTGATGCCACTGATTAAAAGAAAAAAAAGTTTTAAAGTGACACGTCTAAGGCCAGCATAGATATAGCTCCGCAAGAGGAAATATTATACGATCGTTTGTATGGTGTAGGGGCACGTTGGTAAACCTACCTGGTCCAAACAAAGTTGAAAAAAACGTGGGAGTGTCCATTAAAGCAATGATTCTATTTAGTGCCCTCCTTCTGATAAGCGCTTCCAACTCCCACCAAACCGCTTTCAACGTCGTTTGCTAACAAGCGTTCCAATAACGTTAGTGCCCTTTTAAAAAAGCGCTCCTATTGTAATAAGATCAGTATATTCCTTCAGAGTACGTTGAGATCGGCACTGACCAATTAGTTTCTCCGAAAAGACTAGTGATTTTCAAAGTCAAAATATCATAGTTTCAGGTTACATAATATAGAAAAGAAACCATTTTTAAAGTGTCGGTCAATTTAAATTTACGTGACCAGATACCATGGAAACGTCTAAGCCAATTCATCCTGGAATTAATTATTTATTGCTCGATTAATTTTAGCGTTTTTCATGCACCCTACTATGCCCACACACACACACACACAAAAACACTGGCCAGGTATTGCTACTCAGGCTATACCAAGACAAGAGTTTTTGTTTCGTGATTCTCTCTCGCTCAAAACCCAACACTGTTAAAATCTAATTCGACTGAAAGGCGCTAGCCTGCGCCGCAGACGAAACTAGTCTCTGGTTAAGTCCGTCTGCGAAACAGCGCCGAAATCCTCCCCC